TTTGTTGTTGTTTTATGTGGGTTATAAAGCCTAGCTGTTAGCTGTTTCGGTCGCCATGGGCAGCAGCTGGCTGTAGGTAATGGAAATTTCACACACTGACTGTTGACTTACTGTAAAAGTCTCGCTCCTTCAGCTGGATTTATGCTTTGTGGTTTCTAAATTAAGTAAGTATCAGTACTCTAATACTAGCAGACCTAAATCTCTACAGCTATAGGTCAAAGCTCTTCAACTGTGGAGAACCAACAATGCTTGGATTGTAAAAGAGGTGCAGGTTACAGACGCTAAATCAATAGTCATAAACAGTAGCTCAAGACTGGTTGAAGGTTTCATTTCATTTTATTGAGGGATTTTCCTCAGACACTAAGGGAAAAGGTTTACTATCTGATTTAAATAGAAAAGCAGTGAGAGCAATTGTGTAACAGAATAGACACAAGGTCATATCTAATCTCCCTGCCATATGGAGTAAGATTTCTGATCACCAGCAACAATCACTGAAGAGTTAATGCATAGGCTGCACACTGGCCATAAGGGCGGTGGTTTTTAGAACATCTTTGATCCTTGTTGGAAGTCTTAGGCTAAATGCATCAAGAATGGATACTGTTACCAGTGCTATGGGAATATCAGGGATATTTTGTTTACATGCCACTCAGTATTTGTATGTAATAACCAAAAATGAACTTTAAAAAAATATAATGATGCATTGTGTGTTGTTTGGATAACCTTTAAATGCACCCTGCAGTAGCTCTGAGGCTGCTCCAAAGCTGGAACAATTGGAAAGAGAAAACTAACAAAATAAAACATCATGGCTATCTCAAAAACACTCCTGATTTGAAAATAGACAAACTGTATTGGTTCTCTGCAAAAAAAATGCTCAATCATTACATAACATAATTGTAAAATATACAAAACAAAAAATATATGTGTTATAGGTCAGAATACTATATATAGAGAACAAGCAAATGTATTCTTATATTATGGTTACTGAAGAAATATTTTATAATGCACTCTGACTCAACCAAGCGCTCTCTCTCTCTTTTCCGTCTCTCTTGGGGCACCTCTGACTTCAGGCCTTTTGCTTCTGTTTGCTCAACCCTTGCTGTGATAACCAACTATTTACACATGCAGCAAGTCAAAATGGGACTAAGCTGAGAAGAGAGCAGCATTCAGACAGTTTTGCCATGAGTAGCTCTTCCCACAATCCCAATGGAAAAATTACTCAGAGATTTCTCCCTTGAGATTCCTCAGTTCTGATACAGCACTTTGAAATTCCTCTACAGTGACTGTTCAAGCATAGCCCGGATACCGAGAGCTGCACACTGATTGGCTGGCGCTATTGTCTGTCAAAATGTACTATGTAATTAGAGGAGCCTCAATCCCAGTAGAAATAGATGAGTGCTTCAAAGGAGGAGGAAAAATGAGGGCCTTGCCATAACAATATTTAAGATGCAGTAAGTCAAGAACGAGCAGCCCTCAAAATGAAACAGAAGCCACCGCTAATAAGAATACTTTGATTATCACAGAACACCAAAAAAAACATTCAATCAAGTTTAAAAAGCACAATTCATTCAGTCCTTTGCAAAGACATCAAATCATACAATCACAAAGTCTGTCTTATCCATCTTATCTTAAATTTACACACATTATAAAACAATGATACAATTAAAAACAACTCAACCTCAGAATTGAAACTCAATATACAGTATACAACTCAGCTAAAAAAGGATAGTTTTCAGTCTGGACTTAAACAATGCCAGAGATGAGGCCTCATGTACATCTTTAGGAAGACTGCTCTGGATTCTAGGGGCAAACACCTGAAATGCTGCCTCCTCATAATTACGGTTGTAACACAGAATGTGGACTTGTACTTTATACTTTGAGACAGAAGGCTGTACACTTTCTAGTACTAGTATTATGTAATTTTCTGGTCACATGCATGTGTGTTTGGTCACTGTGATGAGCGAAGAGATGGAAGTCGCATAGCTTTATGGATCTTTTATTACACTTTTGAAGAAACTGTGGTTTAAGTTGAATTCATCATTTCAACAGTATGCAGGACTCAGTGAATTTCCATCCACTTGAATGATTTGGTTACATATATGTGGCTGAAGCTACTGCCACGAGTGTCTACACCTCCATGGTATAAGATCTAAAGCACACAGAACATCTTGGAACTCACTCACTTTGTAACATCCATAAATGTCTTCTGCTGTATATGACCACAGACCCCTGCATATTTTCCTCAGCTTCTTTGACAGTAAAATCTTTTTCCCATTGAGAATTAGCATTGTAGTATTTATGACAAAAAGGATTGTTCTCTAAATAGAAATACTTCAGCAATTGTAAATTTGTGAGGACGGACAGGAGTAACATTTGGGCAGAGAGTGAATGGGCTGAAGGGGTAGAATAGCAGCTCCACAATGGTGCTTTAGTTGCCTTACATCCATGCATGGGGATTCTAGTGATGTGTCAAAGGGTTTGTGAGAGATAGGAACTAGTCTGATGGCTTTTAATATCTGTATGTCCTCCTTGCAGAGAGTAACAAGGTATTGAGTATTATTTATTTTTATTTATTAACCTTTATTTAACCAGGAAAGTCCCATTGAGATTAAAAACCTCTTTTTCAAGGGAGTCCTGGCCAAGAGGCAGCAAAATATACAGTTTAAGAATTACATACACATTACATACTCATTATAAAAAAACATTTACAAGAGGTTGACTCAAGTGCTCTCACTTTGGACTTAAATTCGTTCAATGGAATAAGATCAGTTATCTTCCTTTGCCATACAAATTCAACATGAGAATATAGTTTGCTTAATTTGAACTTCTAGTGGTAAACTGTACTGGTAAATAAGATATTTAAATAAGATGTTATTCACAATCACCAAACTAATATAAATATATTAAATTATATATATATTAAAACATATTATTTCTGCAGTTTCTTTGCTATATTTTTGGGAGCAATAAAAGTTTCACCTATAAATAAATGTATGTACCTATAACCAAGAATGGTATTTCACTTTTGAAGTATTTTTGGTCAAACCTAAGCTTGTGATCAACCCTATGCAGGAGCTGGTGATTTTGCACTTGAATATTTTGGTTATCTGAAGCTACTGGCACCGTGGTCGCAGCTGATTGGACTGTCTATGATTTTTCCTGTTACAATGCTACTTTCTACCTGTAGTCCTTGACAATACTATCACATGCAGTCTGTGAATGTGTGCATCTGTTCTTGTTTTGTCTTTACAATTGACAAAAAAACATGTCTTCGGTCTGCGACATGATCCCAGACCATTCCGCATCTTGTCTAAATTTATTTAGTTTATTTGAGAATCACTTTGAAGAAAACATGTTTTTGTCATAATTGACAAGGCAACCTGTTTGAGTGCTTAATGTGTGAACCGTTATGAATGGTCACAAGAGCGGAAGGTATACTGTAGGTGAAAACAGAGAGGAAAAGACTAAATAATTATGAATAACATGAGGCTCGGAATCCAGCTCTAGACTCCACCCCCTTTTCTTCTCTCCTGTCTGCAGCAGGTCGCAGCCTCCCCCACCGGAAGTGCCACCCTCCCACCATTCACGAATAAAAGACGAGCATAGCGGTGCACATTCCCTTTGGCAGCTCGGCATGCTGGGAAAGAAAGGAATGTTGTCCACGCTTATTGCAGTTGGGCCCTTTACTGTCTCTGATCTAATTACCAAAAGAGAAATCTGCTGATGAACAAAAAGACTTGACTGGCCCCAGGTTGAAGTTGGTCTAATAAGGCTGCAGTCATAACAGCCTTGCTTTGCAAAAACTGATTGGGATACCACACTATCGGCTGGCTTATGACAAAATGGGAATGGATCTGCTCTAAACCAACAAGTCATAATTTCCATCTATCTATCTTTATGGGCCGATGGCACATACTGATTGCCTCACTTCTGTCAGTTTGCCCCTGGGCAGCTGTCGCCACAGTAGTAGTTTATCACCACCTTGTATGGAATGAAAGAATAATTGATTTAAAAAAGTGCAATCATATTTGGTTATACAGCAAAAAGGGCGAAACAAGATGTTTTCATTATGATGGAATATTTAGACATTAATATTATTTTCTCCCTTATCTGATTGGAAGACTGGAAAAATACCAATCATTTCTGAGTTTCTCCTTGTTTTCTAACTTAAGCTTAGTCATCTGCTCATGTGTTCAGTGCCAAAACCTTGGGCAAAATGGCCTCAAATGCTTTTCTTTCCCACACTCAGAACACAACATGCTGCTGTGTTTTCCCCATGGATCTATTAGGGTTTTCCCCAGTAGATACAGCTAACCAACTAGCCACTGAAAGAATCTGTAAACTAAAATATAATCTCACACAGATTAAAAAACATAAAATAAATAATGTGATGCCCTTTGGTTGTAAAATCATAAATAATGCATATTTATTTCTTAGTAAGCATGGTTGGAATTTCAACATCCACTTGAGCTTCTGTAACAAATCCAAGTTTAGTTTTAGCTCAGGGGGTTTGTTGTAATATGCCGAAGCAGAGATTGAGAGTACCTTTATTCGTCCCACAGTGGGGAGATTTCAGTGTAGCGTGTGTTGTCAGGTACGATGATCTGGTAGTGGTGGACTCTCAGGGAGAAAGCCACAGTGCAGAAGACCTCCTCTGGCCCATGATGGGGCCTCAGATACACACAGAAATGTCATTATGTACTAGCACTGAAACCTGATCTATCATTTAAAACAGAGTAAAACATTTCAAACCAGAAAAGCACTCGTAAAGAGCAGATCACCATTCAGTCTCAAAATTTAGTCCAAATCCACACATTAAGTTTGAGTTAATGTTGCTCACAGAAAAAAAAAACAGACAATAAACACACAGACAAACACTGGATTTACCTTTACCTCCAGGACAGAGGTAATGATTGTGGCTGTTTAAAATGATTGGTTTTCTTGTCCCTCTGTATGGCCCAAGTTTTGCCACCTTCACTATTGTTGCTGTTTATCTTTTGCAGATGAAAACAATGGGAATGGTCTCAGCTCAATGTCTGACCGGACACCACCTGGAGAGGTAAATTTTGCAGAACTACTAACCAAATAGAGTGGAGCAGATTTAAATGAATTTTACAGGGTTTTGACGGGTTCGAACCAACACAGTTCAGGGCGTACAATTAGTCAGTACAATACATCAGCCCACATGTTGCCTTGACTTATCAAAAAAACATGATATATTTTGCATAAGAAAGAGAATTTTGTTTTGGGCTGAGAGCTGACCAACTGAGTCTGTCTCTTTTATGTTTGAACAATCTGATCTAGATACAATCAGGCAACAACTACACATTAGAACCAGACTGTTTTGAGAGAGAGAGAGAAACTAGTTTGCTGGATTTTATTACAGAGTTACATTTTTGTATTTGAAAGTTAGGCAACCCAGCTTTAAAGTACCTCAGACAAATAATGTTAAACCACTTACAACAAACAAAACAAATACAAAATTATAAATAATAATAATAGTAATAATTTAAAGTATTTAATTAAAAAGAGAATCTAAATCCAAACAGGTTCAGTCAGGAGGCACAGGTCCATTTGCTCTCAGTTCAGATAATCTAGAACATTTAGCTCCTGGGGAGACACTTAAAGATAAATTTTGACCAAAATGTTTTTATATGTATGCAAAAACAACTGCATTAGTTTGGTCAAAGGCGATAAATCATGTTCTGCACACAGTTCACGGTTTTTAGGGTGTCAAATCCTTCTTAAAAATACCTCCTACATTTGAAAAGAGAGGTCTGGCTGAGACACCTGTTCTTAACGAGAATAATCAACTTTGAAGTAAAAAAATAAATAAAAAAAGAATCCTTAATATTATTGTATATAAAATTTGCTGTTTAAACACACAGCATATTTTGTCACATATCAGCCAGAAAGACTATGTCACTGTCATTAGAACCACATTTCTGCCATTGCCTTTCATTTTGACTAATGTTGATCTGGGCATTTGGTCGTTGAATGGTGGAGTCTGATAAACACAGAGGGTGGAGTTCACTAAACATAACACACATGGAAATAGCTACTGGGGTTCTCTATAAGGTTAAGAGCCTAATATAATGTTGCTTAAGAAGTCAAACCAAGTATTCTTGCCAAGTTCTTAATCCTGTCATGTCTTTTGGTCACGTAAATTCTATTTTTCTGTGCATTGCTTCCCACACCTCAAGATCCCAAGATCAAATATTTATCATTTTGCCTTCAGACAGAAAATCTTCGGCCAAACAAAGACACAGTGTTCTTCAGGGACGGGCTGAGAAGAATCGACTTTGTTTTGTCCTATGTGGACGACAAAGATGGAGAGAAGAAACAGGTCGGCAAAATAATGGACTTACTCAGCATTTGCGTGACGTATATGAGCTCTGACCATTATTACGCAACAGGAATGAACTATGAGAAAAGAGGAAATGGGCAACAATATTTTTCCAAAAACGTTGAGAGAGTTCCACAGAAGGATAGAAAATTGTGCCATATTCTGGAGTGTATGGATGGTTTTGGTTATTTGGTTTTAACATACATTATACTAAAGTGTTCAAGTAGTACCTATTTATTTTGCTATTTGGAAAGGTCTTCTCTAATGTATTCCTGAACTCTTTAGTCTTGGCTCAGAGTTGGTTTGGTCCTTTTCTGGCTGGTTAAAGCTGGGGTTAATGCTTTCCCCTCCTCGAATAATACATATATGTTGTTTCTGTGAGCACTGGTTCTCCTCAGGGATGTATTTTGAGTCCTTTGCTTTTTACTTTGTACACTCACGATTGTGTGTCCTCCTCTGACTCTAACTTGATCATCAAATATGTTGATGACACCACCATCATCGGCCTCATCAGTAACACTGATGAATCCTCTTATAAAGCAGAGATACAAAATGTGGTTCAGTGGAGTATAACTAACAACCTCCAGTTGAACGCATCGAAAACATGTGAACTGGTCTACGACTTCAGTCGCAATAGTTCTCATTTGCCTGTCGTAATCGACAACTCCCAGGTGCAGATCGTAGAGGAGTGCAAGTTTCTGGGTTTAACTCTGTCTAACCTGAAATGGGTTAAAAACACTGACCGAGTCGTTAAGAAAGCTCGTCAGCGTCTCTACTTTCTGCGTAAACTTAGAGAATTTACCACTAACTCTAAGATTCTGCTTAACTTTTATCGCTGCACCATTGAGAGTTTACTTGTTGGTTCTGTGTCTGTGTGGTTTGGAAACATCACAGATAAAGAAAAGAGATCTTTAAACAAGGTGCTCCGCTCTGCAAAGAGGACCGTGGGCTGTGAGCTTCCTGTTCTGGAGGTTCTTTATAAATCCAGACTTTTAAACAAAGCTCTTAAGATTGTTAAGGACTCTTCTGGCCACCCTGGAAAAGCCATGTTCCAGCTTCTTCCCTCTGGCAGAAGATATCGCTCTCTGAGATGCAGGACATCTTGTTACGCTAACAGTTTTTATCCACAAGCTGTTATCAGTGTGAACAGAGCACTTTAATGATTTGCACTTGTTTTGAAACTGTTTTAGTCGATCGATTTCACAGTTACATTTGTTTGTTGTTTTATTTGTTTTATTTTTGTCTTTTAATGTTGTTTTATGTCTGTATTTGTCTGTGCACACTGGAGACTTTTTGCTAATGTATTCCAATCTGTTTTTTTTTTACTGCAAATGGCAAATCTGAATCTGAATCTATTGTTTACCCCAACAGAAACAGTCCTGCCAAAGTGGTTTTATTGACATGCTGCCTTAATGTTTTTAGAAAACATTTCATCTTTTGTACTCTTGTGAGAAAAAGCCCTGTGAGACCTGATTTGCTGTGTGAGAACAGCCCTCTCTTCTGTTTGAAGAAGAGGATTCAAAGATGTGACGGAGGTTAAAAATGTCCTCACGCTGCTTCATAATCCAGACACAATGAAGAGATAATCTGTACTCATCACCAGAACCTGTCAGTGATTATTCTAGCTCCATAATAGCTGTTAATGACAAAGTAATTTGATTTTAGACAGGAAAAGGAAAATTGTTTATGCAATTATGTCTGCCTTGTTATCACTGCTTTTTTTTTTTTTTTTACTGTATTTTAAATCACTTTTATCAACACAATAACAGAATAACAGACAGTGGTCAAACCTCCAACCCCCCACCCCCCCATTCCCATTGAACACAGAGATAAAAGACGATTTGGAACAAAAACATTGAGGATGAGACTTCGCATTTATAATGAAATAGTAGCATTGGAAGCAATCGTTCCTACAGTAGTATTACACATTTCTCAATAGTTCTGTATATTATGCCACACTGTTGTTATTGGTGGAGTAACTATGGAAACTACTTCTAACAAAATCAACTTTTAAGAGCGCATATAGTGACCATGTTGCCATATACGTTTTCTTTAATAGATAATTGAACAGGCTCAGTGAAGATAACATAGGTTGAGTGGATAGAGCAATGTTCTAATTTAGGCCGGTGGCTTTATTATTGCAGATTAACGCCTTATGTGGGCATATCTAAATTTAGACGCTGTTCTCACTGCCACACCTACTCCACTGTTAGTGCTTTACTGGCTACTTCACTTCATTGTTTCTAAAGAGACTCTTTGTCCTTAAAAATCTTACAGTATGAGGCAAAGTTATATTCAATAAACATGTTTTGTCTGATCAAATTTCTTTCTTTCTATGATTTGTGTACAAATATCCACTAATATCGGCTTTTATTTATTCACAGGAAAGGAGGAAAGAGTATGAAGCCAACCTTGAGAAAATTGGCCTTGAGCTGGAAACCGAAGACAAGTCTGTGAGAAAGTCCACTAACCTATAGCACCATCTAGTGTAGTGCACTTGCAATTGCAATATGGGCCCTTAAGACTTCTTAAAGGGATGTGTCGTCAGTACAGCATGGCATGACAAACGTTTTTTTTCTCTCTAACGTTCAAGAACAATCACGTCCCAAAAATCCCACGTGCATTAGGGCTGAACAATTTATCTAAAAATAATAAGCAGAAATGTGATTATCAGAATTGTAATCTGAACTGTACAAACTAAAACACATTCATGACAAAAACATGATTATAGTTTTTACATATTTGAATGGGACTGGAATCAGCTCAGGGCTAGTTTTAAACAGTGGTAACATTGTACATGCTATTAGTGGTAAGGGAAACCAGAGCACCCGGAGGAAACCTATCCAAACATAGGGAGAACATGCAAACATCATGGCAAACACCTGGGTTTGATTCCTCCCAAACGTAAAGATTCTGCGTCACTTTTATCGCTGCAACATTGAAAGTGCACTTGTTGGTTTAGAGTTTAATTTATTAAGGACAATGTGCAGTTACATTAAAAAGACGGTTACACCAGATTTAGCACCATGCATCTGTGTGGTTGTGTAGTTTGATAACATCATAGCCAAAGAAATGAAACAAGAAACTGTGAGCTGCCTGTTCTGGAGGTTATTTGTAAATCCAGACTTAAACTGAGCTCTTAAATATAATTAGTTACTCCTCTGGCCACCTTGGAAAATCCATGTTCCAGCTTCTTCCTTCTGGCAGAAGATATGCAGGACATCTCGGTATGCAAACAGCTTCTTTCCACAAGCTGTTATTAGTTTAAACAAAGCACGCAAATGATCTTGAACTTGTATGGAATTTGTATTGCTTGATCGGTCTCACTGTGATAATTGTATCTTGTACTTTGCTTGTTTTATTTTATATATTTGTCTGGTGCACCCTGGGGACTTTTGCACATGAATTCCAATGTGGTTGGAAAAATTTGCCTTGTTTACTGCAAATGGCAAATAAACTGAATCTGAATCTGAATAGGGACAGTACACATTCATCAACATTACTGTAAATGTGCAGGTATTAGCGATACGGCCGGTTTCCAACTGTAGCGAGATGTAAAGTGCCAGCTTTTGTTTTTGAGTTTTTCCTTGCCGATGCAACATTTATGGAAATGTTTGAAATTAATTAGCATTTATTATTATTGCATTCCCTGTGTTCGACCTGTTTTATTCTCTATCTGTTGTTGTTGAATCAACCATTTTCGAAGTCCTCCATCTTGTGGGACTTCTGTTGTGATTTAGGGCGGTACAAAATAAATTGAAGTGAATTGAATAGTTGATTAGAAAAGATTAATGTTTATATATATTTTATCTATTTGTTTCCAGGAGTCAAAAGACCATAAAACCTACTTCTTAAAGGTCCATGCTCCTTGGGAAGTGCTGGAGAAGTATGCAGACATTTTAAAAATCAAGGTTCCCTTCAAAGAGAGTGACATCCCACACAGCCATGACGCCGCCATCCACTGCCTGTCCCATCCTTTCCGTCTCCCAGAGAGCATCATGAAGCCAGTGCCCGACTACTTCACCTTCCCCTTCAACAAGGACAAGACCGACTTCTTCCTCATACGAGACAAAGACACTTTCTTTCCCCCGTCAACAAGAAACAGAATTGTATGCATCTAGCTATGTTTTTTGACGCGTTTTTTCTTTATTTGTAAAGATAAACTAAAATAATTGATGAAACCCTTTTCTAGTTTGCTTCAGTTATGTAATTATCGGACATAGCTACTAGCCAATTTTCCTCTGCAGTCCTCGGGCATAGGCAAAGAAACAGCAGGTTTACAGTTTGCAATTAATTAATAAATAAAATGACTTGATTAACATTAAAATACAAGTAAAATGTTACACCCTTAATCAAAGGAGTGCAATTGTTAACCTCACTAGACCTCGTAGAAAAATCCTAAAAATTATATTGAAAATGATTTCCCTTGTTTAGTGAAAGTATTGAGTCAATCAAATATGATTTTCCCATTGAAATGAAGCTGTCAGAAAACGGTAACTCCAGAGTTGATGTTGAGAGCCAATTTTACAGCCCATGAAACTTAAAATACTATTAAAAATGAAAGGACACAAACCCTAATTCTGTTTTTTTCCTATTAGGTTTATTACATTCTGGCTCGGTGTCCATATTATAAAGAAGATAGAAAAGAAAAAGACAAGACTGGGATAAAACGGCTCTTAAATAATGGCACCTACACCGCAGCTTTTCCACTTCATGATGTAAGTCAGTGTCAATGCTTTGTACTTTCTGAACATGTGGTATTGAAAATTTGCTGTTTTATATAAACACGTTAGTCTCGATACTGGAAAAGAGGCAGAAATCCAGATTGTGAAAGCGAACGATACAACTTGTATAAAAACTGGGCCAGGTTTCTCTGCTTTTACAAAGAGCAGCCTCTAAACCTCATCAGGTAGACATGTGTAAAACAATACATTAACTAAATATGTTGGTAATGAAATTTTCTCTTGCAGAAAGTACTATGGAGAGAAGATTGGGATCTACTTTGCTTGGTTGGGATTTTACACTGAAATGCTGTTTTTTGCAGCTGTTATGGGAGTCATCTGTTTTGTGTATGGGCTCCTCAGTTATGACGACAACATAACCAGGTGAGGGCTGAAAAAGTAGAGGTAAAGCTGGGGTATTTGACCAGTTCATTTTAAATGAATACATATAATACATGCTACATAATGTATTTTTAGAACAGAAAAAATCTTTCTAAAGTAAAATGTTTGTCTTAATCTTATTTAAAAATATCTATTGTTATATTTGATGCAGAAATGGACCAAACAAGGAATTTTCTGTTTATGTACCTTTTAATTTTATTCTTTCTTGCCGATCTGTGTAACACTAGCCTGGCCTAAGCCATCCGTAAACTTCGGTCAATTATCATTTCCCAAGCCACACCATAGTACGATGGTGTGGTAAGACCAGTGTAGCACTGTATCCCCACAGCGAATTTCCCTTTGGGACAGTAAAGATTATCTTGTCTCATCTTATCATAACTGTTTATTTATTTATTTATTTGAATGGGACAGTGCATGTCAATGAACAGACACATTAAAAACATGAATGTAAACATGACAGATTATAGCCAAAGGCTAATTTCCATCTCTTGTCCCATAGGGTCAGGGTCACACGGGTCAAATACAGCAACGTTATCTTTTGCTTACGAGAAAGAGCCCAATGAGTCACTATTTGACGCTTTGGGTTGAGATCTGTCTGAAAAAGCTGATCCAAAGATGTGCCCGAGGCCAAAAATACAAGCAACTAGTTATGGAACTAACAAGGAACAAGATGTTATTATTTATTTTATTCGATCCCTTCTGGCTTGAAAGTTTGGTACCCCAACTTTAACTCTTTATAGGGCATAAATGTTTGTCTCGAGAACCACATATACGCCTGGTTAACTTGACAAGGTGATACAAATCTTGAAATGTGCTATATTTTGGATCCTCATCTAAATTGTATTTACTTTGTGTGTTGTAGTAAAGAAATATGTGATCCTGATATTGGGGGCAACATCCTCATGTGTCCGCTGTGTGACAAAAAGTGCCCTTTCTGGAAACTCAATACTACGTGTTTATCGTCTTGGGTAAGATCAGCATTAAACACTGTCTTTCTGATTTAAAAATGTAGTCATTTTATCATTGTGCCATCCTCAAGTCTTTGGCATTTCCTGTGTTTATTGTTTATTTTTCCAGCAATCACATCTGTTTGACAATGAGGGGACAGTTTTCTTTGCCATATTTATGGGAATCTGGGGTAAGTTCCTTTTTTTAATGTAATTATATAAGACATTAATATGAGATAAAACTAAATCAATTAAGAATGGTAAAAGTATGTGTGACAAATAACACTAAAATAAGGTTAACACTGCTAAAGACTTTGCTTTTTTACAAATTTGATCACATATTTTTAGAAATTTCCTGGTAGTGATTGATGACATCACACTCCATGTAGTGTACTGGAAAACTCCTCCAATTTGCTTGAAAAACATTTATATGACCAATATACTTATACGAATATGTCTATTTATGTATTTCAGTGTGATAATTTTGTCTATTCTGAGACGTCATCAGTTTAAAATTCTGCTTTACTTTCAGTAAATTTCAAAATGTATTCTCAATTTTGTTTTGGTACACTATAACTTTTATTTCGGCAAAATATTAAATAATAGAATCTTGTGAAGAGCTTTTTATGTGTTTTAAATCTCATATTAATATCACCATCCCCATATGACATAAGGTATATGTCATAATATTATCACAAATCTGTGTAATTTCTGTGAATTACTGCAGACTTACCTTTGGATATGTTTCTCAGTAACTCTGTTCTTGGAGTTCTGGAAGAGGCGTCAGTCACGGCTGGAGTACGAGTGGGACCTGGTGGACTTTGAGGAGGACCAGCAGCAGCTTCAGACCAGACCAGAGTTTGAGATCCAGTGCACAGGACGCAGACTAAACAAGATTACACAGGTACAGCTTTTATTTTTCATTCAAACTTTACAAATAATGATATTACTGTGTATTTTGTCACAAAATATATAAAAGTGATTAGAATCAAACTATCTAAGGTTATCTTTTGTTGGACATTTTGGATTCTATTAGGAAATGGAGCCATATCTTCCGGTCACCACTCGTTGTGCTCGGTTTTGCCTCTCTGGCACTACAGTTCTTTTCTGGGTAACAAAAACTTTTTATGTTATTACATTCATCAATATGCTATGCAAAAGTATTTATTCTTTGTGCCTTTTTTTACTAAATGCACATCTTTCACACAGATTTCCTTGATAGTGGCGTGTATAATAGGAGTCATAGCCTATCGTCTGGCTGTGTTCGCTGCCTTTGCCAGTGTCATCAAAGACCCCATGAGGAAGATCCAGTTTGTGGGCAGATTTATCACTCCGCAGCTCGCTACGTCTGTCACCGCCTCCTGCATCAACTTCGTCTGCATCATGATCCTCAACTTCTTCTACGAGAGGGTGGCGGTGTGGATCACTGATATGGGTAACGACTACAGATTTTACTACACAGTATACAAACAAAGATTTAGACACACAAACAATAACACACACAAAATAACCCATATGGTATTGGGTTGGACAACTTGGGCCATATCAATCTATGTTATAGTTGTCTTTACATGCACACTGAAGTACATAAGAACACAAAAACTGTAGCCCAAGCCGCACCAAATCAGTATTTACGGGAGGCGTCAGGGGGCATCCCAAACAGATGCCTGAGCCACCTCAGCTGGCTCTTCTTAATGTCGAGAAGGAGCGGCTCTACTCTGAGCTCCTGCCATGTGACTGAGCAGTCGAGCATGATGGCCTCAGATTAGGAGGCGCTGATGTTGGAGGTCCTGGTTTGATTAAGCCAATACGACAACTTTGTCCACATAGGAAATCCTGACTCGCTCTGGCCCCTAGATGGCTTAATCATAAACATGAAACTAATAGGACTATGTTATAAGGCTATCTAGGGATTATTATGTTGTCTAATCAATAACCATTTCATTTGGGAAATGAAAAACTTTCCTCTAAAAAAAGAAACAATATCTTATCTATTCTTTCCAGTAAATTACAAGGTCATGCCAAAAAACGTACTTCCTATTTCTCATTTTCCAGAAATCCCAAAGACGCATCTGGAGTATGAGAACCGCCTCACAACTAAGATGTTCCTGTTTCAGTTTGTCAACTACTACTCGTCCTGTTTCTATGTGGCCTTCTTTAAGGGCAAGTTTGTGGGGTTTCCCGGACACTACACTTACATGTTTGGTACCAGCAAACTGAGAAATGAAGAGGTGGGTTTCTTTAAACAGATCACTGTGGATTTATGTCCATCTAAACTTGTCTGATGTGTGACAGTGCGACCCTGGAGGCTGCTTAATTGAGCTCACCACTCAGCTAGTCATTGTCATGGCGGGAAAACAAATGTGTGGCAACATCCAAGAGGCTCTTCTGCCGTAAGTCAAAGATGAATGATAACTTTATTAGTCCCACAGTGGGGAAATTACATATTCACACTGACCAAGACACTGAAGAAGATTAGGTAGCAAATGCTTAATCCCATACAGTTTTATTAAATCTTGTTTCAAATGTATTATTTATAATGTAATTATCATTATTGGGACAAGCAAAAAGTTCTTATTTCAAAGGTGGTTCCATGTGTTTCTCACTGCAAGTGAGAATTTGCTTGTCTTTTAAAAAACTTGTTTTCAGAGCAGTTTGAATAAAGGGACTGTCCAAGGAAGAGCGAGATGAAAAGCTATTCTGTGTATATGATGCTTTGTCCATAGAAAGTCAGAAGTATCTTAAATGTCCAATTCTCTATGGATACAATTATAATACTGCACAAAATCCAACAGTCCTTAGTGATTCCCCAAACCACAAGAAATCACATAATTACATAGGTCAGACCAAAAATATCAATAATGCTTCAAAACTGCTCATTGAACCAATTAAGAACAGTTCAGAACCTCAAGTGAAAGTCAAAGTCCAAGGTACCAAAATTAAACATGTTCTTTAAATTGTGAGCTCAAAGTCTACCTTTGTTCTCTGCAATAATGGCAACAAATGTGTGGACAGAAATGTGGATTATTTCACCGTTTCAGGGTGATGAGGAACTGGTGGAACAGCCGCAGGTCTCGACGTCACCCTGAGACACACTACAGCCGGTGGGAGCAGGACTACGTTCTACTAAATTTTGGTCAACTTGGCCTTTTCTACGAGTACTTGGAGATGGGTCAGAAACAACACATTTTGGGTTCATTGACTGCACCAGGTTTTCCCACAAATGACCAAACTAAACTCTACTTGTATCCTGCAGTGATCCAGTTTGGCTTTATCACGCTGTTTGTGGCGTCTTTCCCTTTGGCTCCACTCCTCGCCCTTTTCAACAACATTCTGGAGATCAGAGTGGATGCTTGGAAATTCACCACGCAGTTCAAACGCCCAGTGGCTACAAAAGCCAGAAACATTGGATCCTGGCAAGAGATACTAAATGCAGTGGCCATTTTGTCAGTTGTCACCAATGTAAGTAGATAAAAAGTCAAATACCAGAATCTATGGAAAACTGTCCATACTGTCTTCATTATCATCAGGTTGAGTAAAAATGTCAGTCATGGTAACCTTAATTAAACCAAAGAAAGCTAAAACATAAACTGCACACAAAACATAGTAATTGTCTTGTTCCTCAGGCCTTCATCATGGCGTTCACATCAGACATGATTCCTCGGATGGTCTACTTGTACGCTTACAGTGGGGAGAGCTCTTCTATGAGTGGCTACATCAACAACAGCCTGTCTGTTTATCAAATCTCTGAGTTAGATGGCATCAACATGCCTGAGGAACGCAGTGGCTGGTTTGACAACTCCACCAAATGCTCGTATGGGAATATACATGGAAGTATATTTTCTTTATGTCCTACTATTTCATGAAATTGTTCATCATTTTCAGATACCGGGATTACCGATATCCACCAAGCCACGAGAAGGCATACAAACACACAATGCAGTTCTGGCACATCCTGGCAGCCAAAATGGCCTTCATTATCATCATGGAGGTTTGTTATTCATTGCAAATGTTTGCGTATGGATAGTATGTAGTTGTGCTTGCAAAGTTTACAAACCGAGCCATAGATTTAATTGTTTTGGCCATATTATGGAAATTATGAGCAATAACATGTGCAAAAGCATTTGTTTTAACATTTCGTGGAGGGCTTAAATTTGCAGTTCATGCAAGGAGGCCCAAGAAATTATGGAAACTGGAGGCTTTTTGGCCAGGGCAGCTTTACAATCAGAGAGAAAAAAGAACCCCATCCACAACCACCACAAAAGTCTCAGAGCTGTCAGCGATGCTTAACAGGAAATACACACTATCGAGTAGTGCCACTATCTTCCCCTCAATCCATTTCTGGGTCGGGGGGTGGCAGTCAGAGCTGCACTCAGTATACATACTGTAGCACCAGCCCCTCACTGATCCTCCTGTAGGAGCATTGATCTTTCAGCGGGGACTTCAGGCAAAGTGGGGTTAAGTGTCTTGTCCAAAGACACAACGACAGCAGACGTCAGTGGGAGTTGTGAAGTAGGTCTTGTGGTGAGCTCGAACCCACAACCTTCAGGCCCAAAGGCCAATGCTCTATCAACTGAGCCACTGTCGCCCATATTGAGTAGCGGGGGATGGAAACTCCAAATCAGGGTTAAAAGAGTGGTTTACGATGTCATTATAAAAGAAACAGAAAACATGTGTATTTTATAATAAATGGCTTCTGATAACAATTAGTGAGAATAAGTGTTTACAATATTCTCCCAAATATAGTCAGAAAAAACAAAATTTCTGCTAACTGTTCCTATTTTGTCCCTGCAGCATGTTGTGTTTGTGGTAAAGTTCTTTGTCGCCTGGATGATCCCGGACGTCCCCTCGGATGTGAAAGCCCGTATTAAAAGGGAGCGATACCTGGTCCAAGAGTACCTCCATAACTATGAAGTGGAGAGACTGAAAATTCAGCTCAGTGCCAGTTTCATCACAGAGCCTCCATCGGAAATATCGCCTTGTTCCGACAAACATGAAATACTGTCTGAGTGCCTGTAGCGTACAACCTCTAACAAAATAGACTTAAATTATTGAATTCTTCATAACTAACCATCATCGTCATATTCCTATATTAGGATGAGCGTGTCATGTGTTCCGTGTTTCATATCTGTGAAAGGCTTGTTCTGATGTCTCTCAAACGCAGAAGAGTGTGTAAATGTTTAAAGTTAAAGTTAACTTTAACTTTAACTCAAAAGGTGAACTGTACATGATACTGTGTTTAGTTTTTTGTTGCTTAAAGCTAGGGTACCTAATTTTCAAACCCCCCAAAAAAATGAAATGATGTAATTGAATTTATCTTAATAGTGCTTCAGTCTCTAAAAAGGGATCTCACCATGTTTGTGTGACCTATGTCAAATATTGTTTGATTTGTTTATAACCATTTACACAAATGTTCTTTATGAACAATAAAAGTTAGGTACCCCACCTTTAATTTAATTTCTGTAAAACTATGGACTACAAGCTTAATAGATTGTTTTCCCTTGTTTCTAGTTGAAAAAGACCATTTTTGTTATATAACACAAACTTGAGGTGCACATTCACATCTAAGAACAGAACAGGAAACATGAAGATGCTACAGTGGTTTGTTATATCCCTTTAACCACAAATGTGTGTTCTTTGTTTCTCGCATGCAGCGGCTTCCATTAAACAAAGAGCTTAACTGCTGAATGAAAAAGAAGCTATTAGTGTGTGTGACCTATGCTGGATCTATGTGATCATTGTAAATAGTGATGTTTGAAATGCTGTTGCACATAATTCTACATTTATGTACATTTATGTAGAACTATCTACAAATGTACAAAAAAGGTTTTCAACACTTTTCAATTATCATTGTTTTATAGTCATATTTAAAAGCTTTCACTATACCTCAAAATAACAAACTACCAAAATAGATATGGTCTGCCTTAAGATAGTGAAACAAATCTATTTATTTATGTTTTTTTAATTTTTTATGTTTTGGCGTTATACTTTGAGAGTTTACTCCCTTTTGCTTGAGCAGCGGCCATGTCGCAGGTGGTAGTTGAGCGGATACTTATTATTTTCATTGTGGAAATGTCTGTAAGCGGATGGTGCCAAGTTCAAGGGGCTGGACCAGTGGTTTCTCATTCAAACTCTGACAGCAGCTGTTTGTGCTTGTTGTGGTCGTGCTGATTCTCACATATTGTCAGTGTGGCAGTGTGAAGGCACCTGCTTGCTGTAAATTCTTCCAATTTTATAAAAAATTAAGGGGCTCATTCCAAACTCAGGTCATGCTGATGTTTCAATGTTTGCATGACATTCTCCAATCATTGCCTTAAATGTCTATGTTTACTTGTATTTTCTATCACTTTATATTGAAATGTTCAATTATCAAATCTACTAAGTTGTTACCTTGCAATGTGGTCTTTTATTTGAGCATACAACTTAATTTTGTTTGTATGGTAAAGTAATCCTCACTGCTGCCAAGTGTATTGTATATGTGGAAATAAATAAAATCTATGAAACGAGAAAAACATTTTATCTGGAGTTGATTATTATTGATAATAATAAGAATGCATAGCACTTTTATAGCGCTTTGCATTACACCAAAGACGCTTCATATAGCATTGTGGCCCATGGAATGTGGATCCATCTTTTATGATGAGAGTATTTATCAGCTATACTATTTATTAAGTGCTTCCTCTCTTTGCTCTGAGGAACACTAACATTTCACTTTTTTCAACTAATATAGATTATCCCATTTTATACTTTGTAATAGTTAGTTTTTGGAAAATTATCTACATAACTCATACACATCAAGAAGGTTTTACAAATAAGAAAAGTAACTCGCTCTTTTCTAGATTAAGCTTTGCAAGTCGAATCTCTTCTGAGACGCTAGTTTTGTAGTTAATTTCCGGTGAAATCATCTGATTTGAAAACGTTCGAGTGGTATCCTTTTTCTAACCACCAGGTGGTGTACGGAGCCCACAAATAAAAGGAGCATTTCTAAATCCATTAACAAACCGTGTGTCTATGTAAACATGGTAAAAACATTTTATTTTTAAACCGCTGTTTAATATTTTTATACTATTACGACTGTTATGATTGTTATTAGGAGTAGTTGTTGCAGCAGCAATAATTTGGTAGTAGTAGGATTAGGATTAGGATTAGACACCTCTACCTAAATTCGGTAATTTTCAGACAAATAACAAAGTGCAATTTTGATAATATTATAATATTACGTGCTTATAGGCCCCATTTTTGCAAGGGGATAGGAGAGCACGAGGCCGCCCTTGTGAGGATGCGGTTGCCAGGGGGATGAGACTGGAGAGACGTGAATTATTGATGGATTCCTGCGTTGGGGAAGGAGGATGTTGAAGGAGGAATCCACTCCCGCTCATTTCGTTTCCATAGCACCGCCCTCCAGAGATCTGCAGATTTTTACAGTCCATTTATAATGTTATTTATTATGCACTGCAGGGCACTACACACTAACATTAGATACTTGATTGTGTGCAAAATACCTCATCAAATAAACTTTGCATAAATGTTATGACACACAAAAAAATACAAATTCGAAACGGTATTAAATTTGAATGCTGTGTAGTGGAAACTTTTACAACGTGCAAAAACAACGAGGATGTATTTTAGTGGATTGGTGATAGTGGTTGTATCCCGCATTGGCGCGTGCAGCCGTCCAGATGTGAACACGACGTCAGAAAGCCTGCGCGCGCCACGGGAGACACAAGCCCACCTCACTCCCTCTTTGATTTATTCACGCATCTCCAAACACCGCCGTCTGCTCCTGTAAACTTGCCATTTTCTTTACGTACGTATATTTTACGCCCTCATTTCATTGACAGTGCCTTTGCCACATTGACGCTATACGTTTTTTGTTTTTTTTTTGAGTGCGTTTGGTTCTTGTGATGCTTACTGTACGCGACGAGATGGGCTGCTGCTGCTGCTGCTGCTGGACGGACGCACGCATCCTGTTTGATTCGCGCTGAGCAGAGGGTTGTTCGTTGTGTGTATTTTTTGTTTTGTTTTTTTTTACTTTGCAGACACGCAGTCATTTTGTCCAGTTGGATCCGCGTTTTATTTTTCGAATTAGGGCAGTTGTATAGTCGGCGGCCGTTTGGCGTTGGAACATGACCCAGGGGCTTTAGAGACTTCAGGCCTATACAACCGCAGGGACTGGACATGGAGTCGGTGAAGAGTCGAGCCGCGGCGGGAGTGAAGGAGTTCGCGGGGAAGACCCTTGGCCATGTGTACAGGTAAGAACAAGGGGGTACTCTGCGCTACCTTGGCTGACCTCATAAATACGCACAGGTGCAAATGCAAATGCGTGGTGCCATTCCGTATGTATTCGATAAAAAAAAAGAAAAACAAGTTCTCAAAGACAAAAACTATATATAATAACATGAAGATATACAGACTCACTCCAGTTAAAGTGGATTGTGCAATCCTGTGCGCTCTGGCCTTGATGCGCGTGCGTGAATGAGCGTGTGCGCACTGTGCATGTCTGTGTGAGAGAGACAAGAGTGCGTGTGTGTTTCTGTGTATGAGTGCGTGTGAGCGTTTCTGCGGTGGCTTTGGCGCGGTTTCGTGTAGATTGAGCAGTTTCCAATCAGAGTGCGTGTTCAGACGCGGCCCTTGTCTGCTCAAAGCAGGAGCATCAAGGCCACAGCATGGCGTATCCAGGCTCAAGTTCAACTGGACTTTGTGAGCTGTAAATGTTACAAATCTCATCTTTAACACGGGGTTGGAAGCCGAATGTGGAAAACTGGGGTTTTGGCTGCATTAAATAAAACATTGCATTAAATAAAACATTGAAGAACATCATCACCAATCTTTAAAGGCGTTGCCATTTTATGAGCTGCCATCCCTATAGAACTGCTTCTGTTGTAGGTGTAATTTTTTTAATTGGATGTACTAAAGGCCTAGTTTGTGACTAAATGAGGAGCCATAGACAACGCGTGGAGAAATCTGATATTGGAAAATGTCTATTTCTCGACCAGTATGAATCGAGTGCAGCTCATCAGATCGAGTGTGACTTCAATAAAGGGGAATACTTTGAGGAAAGCCCGGGGAGCGTGGAGCCGAGAGCAGCTCTGTTCGTGAATGTTAATGAGAGAGGTTGCTGCAATGCGGTACAAAGACACGCTGCATGTGTTATTCCAGTGCTTTATGCTTTACTGCCTTCAAAACAATGACATCGACCATGAGCCATGCTTTATGGAGGCCTGTTGCGACTAGACCCATGTACGTGTGAATTGGGCATATGGTGATATGGAGTCATTATAAAGACGCTTTTCAACGAGCGATGTCAAATTACATGATGCAGATTCCGTGTGAGGTTCTGACAATTAGCCCAAATAAAACGGAGGGTTATCTGATTTCCAATTGTGATTTCCAAACACACACGGGTTTGCTCTCTCCTCAGGGCGATGGAGAAGAAACAGAACACTGGAGATGTAATAGAACTGACAGAAGACGGACGGCCTAAAGAGGCCGCGGAGAAGAAGCCTCCCATCTTTGACTGCACCTGCTTCGGTCTGCCTCGCCGCTACATCATCGCCATGTTGAGCGGAATGGGCTTCTGCATCTCCTTCGGTATCCGCTGTAACTTGGGCGTGGCAATAGTCAGCATGGTTAACAACAGCACCATCCATCAAAACGGAAAAATCATCGTCAAAGAGGTGTGGCCCAGTGCTGCTGACGCACACAGCCCGTCCGTCTCCACTCATGTGTGCCCAGGGACCTGAAGCTCAAATCCACACAGGGTTCAGAATTATGTTCTTAAACACACGTGCACGGCAGGCCCAGGCCCTAAGAGAGCTCGATGGTTATTATAGTAGGGCCTTTCAAGAACACATAACAGCCGCCATTGATCAAATAAACGGTAAAGGCCTATATGTCAAAGTATGTGTATTTGGTTATTATTTTATGTTAGTGTTAGACCTAAGCATAGGCCATCATGTTGTATGTACGTTCATAGGCCAAGGCCCTTAAAAAGATTATGCCAGGGGCCTCTGCAATGA